TGAGCTGGTGTAGGATACGAATATGCGCTCGAAGCCTCCGTCCTATCCAAGGGATCCCGAATATCTTCTAACTGTCTAATCGATATCCTCTTGCATCGGTCGGTGTGTATGCTTCGTCATGATCACCGGATGCTATCTCGTTGTAGAAATCAACATGAGAAATAATCTCCGCAGCTGCACCGTGACGACAGCCTCAGTGCTCCGAACATGAGTACATCAGTCGAAAGATCATGATGGAGTTCAATACATCAATATCTTGTGAGTCTACTGCAACGATGTCGGCAGAACGGTACTGGGCGTTGCGTCGAAGCCTGTATCAGACCTGTATGTGTTTGGGGAGGGCGTTGCCAGCTGGAGATACTGCTGAAGAGCCCGGAGCAAACTCGGGGTGCTCGGGCTGGACTCGACTTCCGTTTGAAGGTCCGCCGACTGAGCCGAAGGTCAATTATTCGGCACGGGAGCACTTTCTCCTTCTTACGCTCACCACGATAAGCTGCAACTCTTGCGGCCGCGTTTCTCGTTATTGAAACGGTTCGTATATCGGGATCCTGTCCGTATAACCTTGACTTCGGCTAAAAGGCTTGCCTCAGACTCTGAATGCCTGCCAATCAAAGATTCGACGTTGCTACAACCTTCCAGCACAAACGCGAACTCTGCGCCAGTCTCTCACGCGCCAGCTGATGATCTTCTGAATTCTAAAGTCTCCCTACTTTCTCCGCCCCAGTACTTTGGTGTGCCGGAGCTATAAGTCTTTCCGCCACATGCTACCTTCCTAGGGTATCGGCATCATCCATCCTTCTCACTGTATATAGAGCGCATGCTAGCGCTGGGGATATCTGGCGCTCATCAGTCGGCTTCAGACTGTATGAGCGTATTACAGATGTGCCGTCAGACTTGATTAATACGTATGTGTCTCCCATCGCTCCGTTCCGAGAATATAAGGACACTCTGTATGTTCAGACAGTCAGACTGCATCTTCTCTCTTATCTTTCGCCTCGAATACTGGTGTTCACGTCTGAAACATGGTGCCATTCGCGCTACTGTTCGTCTGCTCTCCTCTGCAACATTTCGTTTGAGCTAAACATGGTCTGGCTACCAGTAGCATATTCTATTCACATTTTAGTGCCATCCAACACTACTGTGAATGTCTCTACAAGCGTCTTGGTCATTTTCGAGAACTGGGACACTCCAACGGACATCTTTTTAAAGGAATTCGAAGTCGATAACAACGAATTCGACGAATCTGTGCTATTCCCCGTCGCTTTCTCAACCTCTACCGTCATATCAAATATAACATTCTCAAACATACAGTAAGCGCGACATTTGTATCCGTCTGACATCAATCTGACTTCACGTTGTCAGGGACTATGTTGTCGTTGCTGTCGCCAATCCTGAGTGAGTCCCTTCTTGACATCCATACGTCTATCTCACTTTCTAGATAACTAGAGATTGGAACCTCACGAACGCTCTTGCTCGAAGTCTTGAAATACAAGTCTTAGACGATGATGATGACGAGGATCGCTGGGGGCGCCACGGGAGACATCGTGGTGACCACGACTTTACGAACGGTATCACGACCTCTGTCCCGCAAGCTTCTCCTTCTACAACGGCGTAAGCAGTCTCGGTGACTGTACAACTCGTTTCACCTCAATTTCAGGTCGCTTGATACGGGGGATAGTGATCATGGCTCTGACCACCGAGGGAGAAGAAGGTCGGTATTCATGTGGCCTTGTTACCCCGCCATCTCAATGAACGTCCCTCCAGCTCAAACCATTTGAATACCGCTGTAATCATCGGTTTGATTTTTGGCGTCTCAGCTTTCTGGGTTATTCTCGGTTTATTGGTGTATTATTTAGTTCGTCGAAGGAATGCGAGCCACTGTAAGCTTCATATTCCCAAGCATGTCTGCTTGCTAACGAGATTTACAATAGCCACCGAACGACAGCGCGACGACAAAAACACAACACCGTTTGATCTGCGAACATCACACCCCTTCGACGACAATGATCAAGAGGCTCAACTTTCGCGAGGGAAGCGAACTTGGAGGGAGGTAAGTCTCATGCCCTATGACCCTGATATCTCGCGATTCTCAAGTCAAACTACAGGCGATGGCGTTGGGAAGACACCCATTTCGGTCACCTAGCAATGATACGACACATACCATATACACTGATTCCCGGAGTCGATTCTTTGTTGGACGGCCTAATCGTTTGCCACCAGAGAACTCATCGGAGTCTCATACTTCTCATGGTTCATCCGCACAGGTAATTCGCACTTGGGGCGCTATATCAGTCAATGGGGGCTTATCGCTTGACAGATGCGCTCGCCCCAGACTAAGATTAGTCATCGTGATTCGCGCTGTGATGCCACAGCCGCTATCGAAGTCGTTCAAGTGCCGGTGGATGTTCACCACCCATTTCGCTTTGCGGATCCCTTCCCGCCAGATTACGTCTCTGTACAGACTATTGAGCGTGATGATTTTGACGAGCGTATCGTACCAAGACGCACATTGTAAGGACCTTTGCTTCGAAAGATTTGTTACGACAAATTTATACTGAATAAATTCTACTCTCGCTTGATGTTTTCTCTTGTGATGTGCGCGCAAGCCGTTTGGATCAAGCGCATTCGAGAACTTCTACCCCGGTACCTTCTCGTTCTTACATGTCAATCTAACATACTGACTAAATCATAGATTCATGAGAGAGTTGACATAGGAAGTCCTCACACCGCTGCGCGGGCAGCGTCTCAAGGTGTTCCTCATAACACGGATGAACATCTCAGATTTTTAAACCTGGGTCGTCTGTGTCCGAGCAGACGAGTCGCCATCAGAGCTTCAGTTAGACGATCACAAGGGAATGCGCGCCTTCGCTCAATGAAGCAACTTAACGTTGCCTTCGAAATATTAAGCTGCATCTCAGGAGAGGGGATCAGGAAAAGGGCTTCGGAAAGCTTCTGACATCCAAGACACACTCATCGTGGTCAATGTGCCTTGTGGAATTGTAGATTGGACCATATCATGGAGTATTATATGTTGCAGCATCTCCACAGCTAACTACTACACCAAGATATCAGCGACGGGGCTATGCATCTGTTGGTCTCCCGTTGTCTCCGTCTGAGACCGGGAGCCCACAACTTCTGTAGTCTCTTGGACTGGCGCGGTGTTGATGTTGTTGAGTGTCCATTACCTGCCAACGACAAATGGTATAGGTTCAAGGCGCATCCACGAAGAAAAAGTCAATTGACATTACACGCGATCGTTCCCGGATTTCTGCATCATTCGGGAACACTGCATTCATGTACACATCAGCTTGGAAGTTGAGGTGAGATCTCCATATCCCGGCACTTATGATGTGAGCTGTCAGTTGCCGGTGTTTCACTGATAGTTGCATCTTACCTCCACCTTCAATTCATTGTCGATGGCAGATCTAAAGACTAAGCAGGAGACAACGCGCTCTGTCTTCTTCCCACCTTTCTCGTTTCTCTCCTTCACGGTCTTTTCTTTCCTTGTTTCCTGAATCCTCAGGCTGGCTATGATTTTCTGGGTGGTCTATTCGCACTTTTGTACGTCGGCCAGTAAACCACGAACTACAGCCCCTCACCATAGCTCGGCTTACAGGGTCTGGCTACCATGGTCGTCTTGTTTGCAGATCATTGCACCCAATACGACAGTGCAGGGCGCAGACACGAATATCACGCTTATTCACGAGCCTGGAGATCCCGACCAACTGTTTCTCAAGAAATACCGGCTGGATAAGGGGGAGTTCGCCCGACCCATCTTCTCAGTGGATCCCTTCAATGCAACTATCTCGAAGTCCATTGGTTTCTCTTTCCCCATGTAAGTCACTAACGTAGTAGCTTTCTCGCGTGCTTATCAACCATTCTCCGAGGCGGTACCTAGTCGTGGCAGTCGACGATACCGAGTAGATATTCTTTAATTCTGTCAGAGTGGCATAATTTCTGACGACCAGTTCAGCAATCCAAAATTAGAGAAAGCGCTTGCGAAGAGTAGCGAGATCCAAGTGAACAAGAACGCATCCTCGACCTCTTCTAACAGTGAACATGATGGTGGTTGTCGCCACTGTGGTGGTGGTGGCAATGGCGGCGGCGGTGGTAATGGCGGTGGTGGTGGCAATAATGGCAACAATAACGGCCAAAACTCTACGCAAGGCCAGAAAGGCGAGGACCACACTGTCACTCGTTCACGTACTACTCCTGGGTATGTTTTTCCTCTTCCCGTCAGCGATATGATGTCTGATAGACAAACAAGGAATAACACCGGAACTATAGTCGGGATCGTCTTTGGTGTCTTAACCTTCCTTGCGATTGTTGGCGTCTTGGGCTACATTCTCATCCGCCGTCGACGCCGACGCGCCTTCCGCCCGCAGCGCATGGTGCGAGACTCATATTCGCCGTCCTCCTTCAGGCAGTATATGGCGGAAAAGTACGTGGGCTCGCCGCCCATGACTGTCCACACGCCATCCATCATCTCGGCAGATCCTTACGGATACCTAAAACGACCCAGCCCGCCGCCGCCCACATACCCTTCTATCTACGATACCTCAGACCCGATGCGCAGGTCCATCATCGCACCGTCTACAATCACGAGCCTCAACGTCTCGCCATTCACGGATCGGCAGATGCAGATCCATCAGCGATTGTACGAGCTTCAGCAAGAGCTCTTGAGACTGGAGAAGAAGGGCAATGTGGATACGCTGGGGGCCGTGAACGATGAGGTGGAGGTCATGTATGCGAAGACCAAGATAGGGACCCTACGGGACTTTTTAGACTCGCCGTGGGCTATGCACCAGACGGATGAGATACCATCAGAGTTGAAATTGTGTTTCTGAGGGTGTGGTTGTAAGCTATAGTATTGTGACGGCTATATGATTGTTGAGTCCTAATTGCGAAAGTGACGAGTTCTTACTTCTCAGTTCCAATACTACTAGAATCCAAGGACATGAGATATGGACCTGAGGAATGCCATTTCAAAAAGGAAAAAATTCCGATACGGGGAATCGAACCCCGAGCTGCCGCGCACTATGCTCCATGAAAGGCGGCAATGTTAGCCGTTACACCATATCGGATGTTGAATTACGCACAGCTACCAGACATATCGGTGCGCCACGCTTCATACAAAATCAGTTTGGATTAAAAAGAGTTTTAAAAATACACCCTTTGAACTGAAATTCAACTTGAAAGCAGATCTGTTCTTTAGAAGTCAATCTTCTTTACCACCTCCCCACCCATCGCCCGAACGTCGTCCAAGCTCTGATACCCAATCAACCCCAACGTCACATCTAACTCCGCCATCGTCTGTCTCAGCACTTGTTCCACTCCTGCCTGGCCTGCGATGACGGAGCCCCAAAGGTACGCGCGTCCCACTAAACAAGTATATCAAGAGTGTCAGTTAAGTGGCAACAAAAATATATAGATGCAACGACTGACAGAAAACACCCTGCGCCCCGAGGGCGAGCGCTTTAATGATATCACTGCCCGTTCGTACGCCCGAGTCTAGAAGGACGGTCAACGTCCCCGCTTTCTGGGCCGCTACTACTTTCGGAGATTGCACGATGTCGACGAGAGCGTACAGCGACGGGATGGCACCGTCAACTTGACGTCCTCCTGCTCATTGTGAGATTACACGCAGATATACGCGTTTGGAGGCACGCACCGTGATTCGACACAACGATCCCATCAATTCCATATTCCAGCGCCTTTTCCGCATCCTACACATCATCAGCCCTCTGGCACCGTCATTGATATACAGACTTACACTAGCTTTCAAGATGCCCTTCAGAACAATCGGCCCCTTCCAATTGTCTCTCAAAAACCTCAGCGCGTCCCAGGACCGGTAGTGCCCCGAGCACACCTCCGCCACCCAGCCCATACCAACCTTCGCCTCTTGAGCCTGGTGGGGGTCGCCCTGCTGCAGCAACACATCAAGTTTCTTGTACTCGTACGGAAACGACGGACGATGATTCGTGACTGGTTCCAGTCCGAGTTTTGCCATAAACACAGGATCAGAGCGTCCGACTTCGTTCCCGTAGCCGTGGAGAGGGGGTGCGAACGCTACGATCATCATCGTCGTAAGCTGATGACTTGCGTTGACAGAGACAGCAACATACTTGCGTTGATATCATGCGTACGCCATCCAATCGAAAAGTTGTCCAGCGTGACCACTAGCGCACTGTACCCGTTGTCCTTCGCTCTCTTGAGCAAAGACAACGTGATATCGTCTGATTTAGGCCTACAATGCATTGAGGAAGGCAACTTCGTAGATAACTCAATCATACCAATAAAGCTGGAAAAACCTATGCCCATTCCCATTCGCCTCTGCAACATCCTCAATACTTCGCGAAGCCACACTGCTCAGCACGAATGGCACCCCAAGCGCGTTACCCGCCCTTGCCGGCGCAAGCTCACCCTCCTCCGTAAATAGCGCCTGTGTCCCAATGGGACCTATAACAAGCGGCGTCGGATACCGAACTCCAAGTATAGTTGCCTGTCACGCGGCTATCAATCTTTTGATTCCAGAGATGAACAACTAATATCACTTCGAGATTGCGCTGGGTGGTGTCGACCATCATACGCGGTATGATCCTGTATCTCTGGAAAGCCTTAATGTTCGCGTCGAATGTAGACTCTGAGCCAGCATTCCCCCGCGCGTATTCGAAACATTCTGCGATATCAAGTCGTCAGTGCGGACCAGAGTGAGGACGAGTAGAAGCCAACCAGGATGGTCCTTCAGTTTCTCCTTGGCTTGACTCTCTAGGTCGGAGATCAAGACAGTGCCCAGTGGTTGCGGCGGCTGTCGCGTCTTGTAAAGAGAGGGAATGAAGTCCTTCCACTGGATCGCAGGTACTATTGGACCATCACTATTCTGCAGCATGATAGTTAGAGCTAAGCCCGGTGACAGAAGGTCATCAGAAGGTGTTGGCAATCCAAGTCCCATGCTCATGACCCGGCCCGAACTACGAAGAATATCGGGCGGCGGAACAGGTGGTAGTGTGAGTACTCAACAGACGGATAAGACTTATGAACAACGCGACGCGCAAATCGCACTATGTATTACCAAAGTTGCGAACAGACTAGTACGGCTCAAGTCCTAATAAGCCTTGACAGGCACCTTCAACATCAGCAATCTATTAAGCGAAACTT